CTCATGAGGGCGCCGTCCGTAAGATGGCCATTGACATGTTCTGACAACTTTAAAAGTGTAAGTGTGTGAATTTGAGCTATAACTTAAGAGCTAGAATTATCATATTTATGAGGAGTTTATTTTTTTCCTAAAATGAGACGATATTTTGCTCAGATAGGATGAATAAAACAGTACATTTTTATCATTGAATGAAATTCAGACTTTTTTCAAACGAAAAGCCACCCTATAGAACAGCAGGGCTCTGTCAAGTAAAAGATTGAAAATCTAAGAACCTTATCCTATTTTTTTACAATACTCCACATTTATGGCTTCTTCCTCCTATGGATGTCACTACTCAGTAACAACGCGGAAGGTCCTCTTATCTCAGCTGATTAAAACTTAGTTTCCATATATTGTCGTTCAACATCAATTTGCAGGCGAGTGGGATCGCTTCGTAATATTCTTAGTTCTATCTCTGGCGTTCTTAGTGCAGCCATTCGGTTTCTTCCTTTGAATTTTACCATCTTAATGGCTGGTGTCCTCTTCGTGTAACATAAACGTAGCGCTTGCTGAAACTCACGAATTCTGAATACATAGACAATCGGATTGACAAAAGAGTTAGAATAATTTAAAATGTTCACCATGTGATAAAACTTCCATGGTATTGATTTCTTAGTTATATAGATTAATACGTTCAAGATGATTAAGGGAAGCCAACATAATAAAGCGAGTATGGACACGAGAAGGAGTGTCTTTGTTAAGCGTCTGTTTCGCGATGCTCCATTTCGATACTGTGAGTCAACGCTCTTGTGTTGAAAGTTTTTCCAGATCGCGATGTTACAGACACAAATGATGATTGTTAGACCCAGCAGAACTAGGACAGAGACATAAAATGCAGATCTAATTGAAGTAAACACCGATAGCAAAGTTAATGTTGTAGACAACAAGGCAGCGTGTGTCCAAAGTATGAAAATGGCGATGCGGTACGTTTTGTTGGACAGTAATCGGTGTTTAAACGGCCAATATACGGCGTACAATCTCTCACAAGATATAAAGACTGCAGATAGATATGAGCCGAATATAAAAATGGCATCGATGCATCTGAAGACCATAAGATAAAAGCCGTATTTTGCTGTCCAATGCTGATGGGCATGTCCAACAATGTAAATGTAAAAGGGTACAGAGAAGGTTCCCAACATCAAATCAGCAAACGCCATGTTCATAACTAGGAATAAACTTTTCTTACGAAGTCGTTTGGTAACCTTAAAGACAACCAGAGTGAGCAAGTTTCCTGCAATGATAAGGACCAAAGATAAAATAAGAGCGCTGTATAGTGCGATCCCTTCTGCCTTGGAAGGTAAACTTCTTGTAAATGCAGATGCATTCTCCATGGTTTTGTTCACTGCCGACGAGTCAATTACTATAAACTTATCACTAAATGGATAACGGTAAACAGTTTTTTTTTTTTTCCGAAAAAAGGCGTTTTTTCAAAGGAGAGGAACTCAACCTTTTGCAACAACACCAAGCATCAACGGCTGACAAGTTATTTGTCTTTCGTGGTAATTATATTCAAGGAGTCACATGTTCCAGGTAAACAAGACATTTCAGGTTCAACTAATACCGTCAATTAAAACGGCTGTTCATCAAAGAACGAATCAGCTGTTCATATATTTTCCTGTTGAAAAGGCAAGAATTGCACAGTTTTACGCTAGTTAAGGTTTTAACAAATTTCTTGTGTGGCTCAAAATCTCCACATTAGCAGTATAGGAAGTTATCCTTTCTCAATAACAGATAATCTTCAATTAGTGATAGACGGAATCCGGTCTAATAACACTTTAGGATATTTAGCTCTAGACACATGCTACCAGATGCACTGTTAAATTTTGCATCAAACAGTCATTGTACACCGTTGAAATTAAACGAGTCATAACAATTAGAGAGAGAAATACTAAGAAATTATAATCTAGAGTTAAGTACATTTATGGCTCCTATCGTCAAAACTTTACCATCATACATTAAAGACAGCCAACACGCACTTGAAATTGTTCGTGACTTTAATTTCCTTGGCCAAGACAAACTTCTTTTCACTATGGATATCAAACATTTTTTTGATTAACGTACTGTCAAAGAACCTAGCTCTGAAACACTACTCCGCTCAGCCAACCTGGTGCTAATAGCTTTCAATTGAAGTTGTCAAATATTGTTCCAATTCCCTTACCCCTTTACCTCCTATGAGTGACTAAGAGAGAATTTCTCCCTATAATATCAATACAATATCAAGCATAGAAGTGATGAGAATAAAGTAAAATATCAATTGAGGGTTATTAGCTTTTCCAATACCAAACTCTCTAACTCTCTAGACAGTGAGGAGAATTACTAATGTGATCTTGGGAGTTAAAGAGTTAGGTAGCCGGTGGGACTACTCAGTGCGTACTCAAATAGTAAAAGAAGGCACTATTAGTAATTTGCGTGTTACATCGGAATGCACTCGTTTTCAGCCGATCAGAGGTGCGTAATTTTCTTAAAGACGTTATTTTAAAAGTAAGCAAGTTTCCTGTTATGATTAGGACGGATGCCTTCTGCTTTGGAAACCTCTTGCAAATTTGGACTTATTCGTAGGATTTCGTTCATATGCCTCGAACAAAGTTAACTTGTAACTAAATGGTTTACGGGATGAAACGTTTGATCGGGAAAGAATGTGGTGTTTCAAAGGGGAGGAACTCGATCTTCTGCAACGACACAAATTAACAACAGCTGAAAAGTCATTTATGTGTCATAGTTATTTTACTCAAGGCAGTCATGTTGTCGAGGTAGACGATACATTTCGAAATAATACCGTGCACGTAGAGCCCTTCATGTCACGATATACGTCTGTTCATCATACAACGTGACAGCTGTTTGCGTGTTTTTCTGCAAAGTTTTACCGCTTCATAACGGTAATACGTTATCTTTCAATGAACAAAGAATATGAAGAACGCTTTCGGAATAATTTGCCCCAGACGCATGTTATATAATACGCTCTTCAATTTATAATTTTGCATTAAACAGTCTCCTACTCTGTTCAATTTAAATGAGTTTTAGGAGAAAGAAATGATCCAAATTATTATCTACAGTTAATTGTATTTACATTAACTGATCCGTTCAAGAAAACCGTATGTTTTCCTTCACTTAAATCATAAAAATATCTTTTTTTTCGGAGCGAAGAGGCATATATGGTTATCATTTCTCAATAAGAGATAATTTTCATGAAGGTGATGAACGAATTTTGTCTTGACACATCCAAGACATTTTGCTTTAACTCTCTTCTAAGTGCGTAGATCTATTTCCAAATTTGCATTAAACATTCATCCTACTGTGATAAATTTAGCTCAGAGAGGGAAAGAGATCTTTGGCGCCTAAGCGTCTGGAAATTTCTTACTTGGCTCAAAATTTCTTCATAAAGCCACTCACGTGTTGTTATCTCTTAATGAGATATAATCTTCGTTAAATTGATAAATAAACAGTGTAATAACACTTCCAGGATAATTTACGCTTGACTCCGGCATGATCCATGATGCACTGCTCTAGTTCTAATTTTGCCTTAGAAATTCATTCTGCACCGTTGAATTTAAGAGTCATAGCAAAGAGAGAGAGAAATACTAATGAATTATTATTTTAAGTAAAGTTCATTTACATTATTGGATCCGCTGGCTTTTCAGGTGCGGTGAACCTTGTGAATTCTTTTTACTAGAACTAAGAAGTTATTTCTTGGAGCGAAGAGGCATGCTCTTGTATCGATTGCAGTCTCATTCAAATTTTTCTCTGCCTTTAATATTCTTTTCTCTTAAGTATTTGATTTTCCTAAAGTATCAAAAAGTTCTTGCTTGCCTCAAATTTCGTCACAATCCGACTCGGGCGTTACCTTCTCACGATGAGACATAATAGTTGTTAAATGATCCGGATAATTTTCTCCAGACACATGTCCCTCAATGCAATGTTCAATGTTTAATTTTGTAGTCAACAGTCATCCTTCACCGTTCAATTTAAAGAAGTTACAGCAAAGAGAGAGAGAAATTTACGATCCTCGTGTGAAGAATGTGCAACTTCATGATTGGTGTATTAGATAGACGGCTTCACTTAGTAAATACTCGTACAAAAGATAGAGTCATGTGTTATTCAAGGTAGTCAATTTTTGGAGCCGAGAACCATCCCTTCTATCAATAGGAGCCTATTCCATTTAGCTTCGGAGACGCCAAACTCGCTATATTTATTTGTTTTCCTAAACAAGGTAAGAATTCCACCCAAATACTTCCGGCATATAACCCTTGAAAGTTAACCTCCAACTATTAAGAGCGCTTTTAGCTTGATTTTGCAAAAGCAAAAGCAAATGCAAAGTAATTCTAGCGGCCGAGCAAGAGAAAGAAGAATGTCAGACGGAGCCGATTGGTTGGTTGTCTATTTTCACACGGCTGTTTCAAAACGCCCGCCAGTGGAAATTTAGTTCGCGCATGTCAGATTGACATTTTCAATTTGAAACCGCTGAAAACGTACGTTTAACGGCTCAACAAGAAAGAGCCCACTGATAACTAGGTCGCAAAAAGTATATGCGCAAAGCCCAAGGAAATAGCTAACTTATGCGCAGACATTGTATTTTGCTTCCCTGGTTAATGTTCTCCTTGAGAAGATTGCGTGTGCGGGATAGTTTACTATGCGACGGCTTAATGGCATCTTGTTTTGACGCGAGATGACTTATCGCCTTTCTGAGGTCTTCTTATTTTCAGGCAAGATTCTAATTGATTCGAATTTTTCTTTCAATAAAGGAACAACTCAGGCTTTACGTCTCTACTTTGCCATCAGTTTCTTTACCATGACGTTTTAATCCGAATTGTTTTGAGCGGTGTAATCTGCGATTACACATCACCACCGAAATACTAAATATGGCGTCCATCTCCCCTTTGACCTCGAACTAATGCCCCTAAACTACGCGAATTTATCCTCTGAATGATCTCATGCTTACCCATGGGCTAAACAAAGAATACACGATGTATGACAAACTGATAAAATGTCCACGGCCTTCTGTTACGTGCAAGAAAGTCGAACTACGTGCGTGTGATTTCCTCCCCGAAAAGTGTATGTCATTGATCTGTCACGGGGAGCTACGTGAAATAGTCTCTTGCCATAAACGTGGGCATGCTGAAAAACGAAGTCTTGAAAACATTCAAGAGGATTATGATAAGTTTGTAGCAGATGGCTCTGTTACAAGTCGACAGAAGTTTTATCACAATGTGATTCACGAGAAACTGCTGGACATTGAATTGGACAAAGTAAGATACAAGAGTTTATTTTATTGCTTTGAAGAGGGACTTACAGGCCACCTAACTAAATGGTTGTCTATTTCAGGTTTGTGTTCCTGGACTTCACATTAGCTTGGGTGTGTTTAAGAAACTGTTTGACGAACTAGAGAACCAGTGCTTTGAGCTGGACAAAAAAATTCAAATGGTGCTAGCAGGAGACAGTGAAGAGAATGATGAGAAAATCCAGGCATTCAGAGCTGCCCAACTACATACCAGACAAGCACAACAATTTAATGAAAAAGCCAATTATTTACAGGAGTTGCTGAATTTACAAAGTCTGCATGCTAATGTTGATATCATGCCTGCCTACTTTACACTACTACAGGAGGAGATAGACAAACTCCTTGGCAATGCAAAGGAGGAGGTAAAATGGCTCAAATTATCAAATTATAGCAACTAAGCAGTAAGTCAAATAACCCAGATTTAAATAGTATTATCTCAACATTATAGGAAAAGCTTGCAGATGAACAAATGGAATTGGCTGCCTTTGAGAAAGCCAATGGACCACTATCGGTTCATTTGGATGAGGTTCTCAAGAAAATGAATGTTGAGAGACAAGCTTATCATGGAAAATCATTCATTGGTAACCATGTACACACTTGCTGCAAGGTAACACAAATTCTACCCTTAGAGTAGGAATTTGTTGAGTCACAAAATTTCATTGAATTGTTGCATTTGTTTTTTTGGTAGGAAGACAACATCATCAAACTATGCAGTGCTGTGCTGACAAAAACAGAGGAGCTGTGTCCTTCCCTCCTTTCTCAAGCAAGAGAAATTAGCGTGAAATTTGAACAAGTTTTTAGGTTATTTGCTGCTTGCCACTTTGTCTATGACAGTGCAGACTATCTCAATGATGGCAAGATTGATAAGCTAGGTAACTGAAAGAAAAAACCTGACTTTCATGGAAAAACATGAATACAGTAATAAGACCATGTCTTAAGTCCACCTTGTTTTCTTGTTGTAGAGGAAGACATCACAAATTTTCTTCAGTTCCTTAGAGAAAAATTTCCAGACATGACAATCACACCAAAGCTGCATATGCTAGAAGAACATGTTTGCCCTTTTCTTCGACAATGGCACATGGGCCTTGGATTCTACGGTGAACAAGGGATTGAAGGAATACACTCTGAATTCAACACCCAGTCCCAGCATTTTGACCATGTGAAGAAAAAGGACACGAGATTGCGTCAAATCCTTGTCAACCATCACATTGCCAAGAGTCCGGAACTAGCAGGGAAAGCTCCCAAACCTAAAGAAAGAAATTTAAAACGAAAAGCGAACGAGTAAAACTCTTTCCTTTTCAATAGCAATGTATCGGTTCGATGACTAACAACGAGTACTATGTGTGTAAATATAGTGTAATTTATTTGCTCAACTTCTAATTTAGACGAATAAAAGTGTTACTACAATCTTTGGAACCAAAACTAAACCTTTCCAGTCGTTTACAGACTGTTTCACTTGAAATTCAGTACCTCCGAGATTCAAAATGGAGTCGCATAACGGCCGATCTTAACATATTAAAAGCGCCTCGAATGGAGTCTTAAACAATTCGGATTAAAACACTTACCTCTGTCGGTTGTTCAGTAAGGTTTCAAGTCTTCTCTTTTGACTCTTGCTTTGCTGGAAAAAATTCGAGCCTTTTCCAAATTGAAATCAAAGTTTTCAGTTGATTTAATAGGGTGTGCTTGTTAGACTCCACCATAGCAACGTGTTTTCGTCGAACACAGGCAAAATTTGACCGATTTTACTCAAATTTTCGACGGCAAATGCCTCTTCCATGTGTAAGCATCCGCCATGCTAAATTTCGACCGCATACATTAAATACGCAGCAAGATTTCATTGGCTAAACTATATGTTAGCCCAAGGGGTTGCCATGGACGCTAGATTTATGCAAATGCATAATTTTGTATTAACCAGAGAAATAATAATTAACTCGATCTTTCCTGTAGACCGCATGCGCGAACTAAATTTCCGCCGCGAAACAGCTGTGTTTCAGGGTCTTAAGATTCTTAAAGATGTGGAAAGGTGGATCAAAGGCTTTGAAGAAACCAGTAAGATCGTGATTCTTCTCTCGATAGAAGGACAGGTGCATTAATTGATCAAGGTGAGGTTGCTTGATTGTGTGTGTTTGTATGTTGGTTATGGGTTGTTTTTTCCACGAACAAGAGCTGCTTTTCCCGATCCCTCTGGTAAATGAGCAAAGTGTGGGAGGAAGATTGCGTGTAAAGTATTTAAGCGAAAGTTCTAAAATGATTCGTGTCAAATGGAAAAAGGAAAATGGACCCTTCTAGAGAGGTCTGGTTTCCAGACCAAGTGTGTCATGTCCTTTGGGTGGACTCGTTAGCCTAAATAACACTTTCGCCAACTCTTCTGGCGTTATCAAGATGATGGATGTTTTTTTAATTTTGCAGGAGGCCATGAGCGATGATAACTTATGCCGGATGTACATTGGATGGGCTCCTTTTCTCTGACGAAAAAGAGAAAATATGTAAACAAGAGACCTTTGTAAACCATGGTAAAGAAGAAGGTTTTTTTTTTCAGTGAACTACTTTAGTAAGAAAACGCGTTATCAGAATCCAAATACTTGTTTGCGTTATTGTTAAGGCCATCCGAATTTAATGCTTCGTTTCCCATCGCCCGACCGACCCATTTTTTTGGAAAAGTAAAAAAAAAATTCTTGATTCACTAGTCAAAGAGGCAAGTACTTTAATTAACAAGCACATGATCTTGTCGTATTTACACCAATTGTCATAAATTAACATCGATACAACGTTTTTAAAGCCTTTTTAGACATTTGACAGTAGTTTTAATATACATCTTTTACCATCCGATTATATCTTCAAGACCAAATGTGAGATTTAATACACGCAATTGTAGATAAAGAATATCGAACGAAGGAACCACGTTTTCGAGTTGACTTTGTAACCAAGCTTTCGTACTTAGCAGCCCGGCCTTCCCTGGTACCCAGGCCCTTTCAAGTGTTCATTTCCTTTTTTTATTTTTTTTTTTTGCCCGACCGACCGACCCACCCTCACGAGAGGGAGGGCGATGGGAAACGAAACATTAAATTGGGATGGCCTAAGATGGCGGCGATACTGTAGGTTGAGTTCTAAGGGCAATGCTTTCCCCACATATCTTCATGCGTTAACGAAAAACGTAAGAAATGTCACCGTGGATAAATTTTTTGTGACAGAATTTTTCAATTATTCTGACTCGACTGGTGTTTCTTGCTTCTTGATAAAGAGATATTGGGTTATAAAATCACAATTCTAGAAAAATAATCTCTGCTTACTTCATTTATTTTTATTTCGAACAAAAACAGCAATCCAGTCCGGTCAGTACAAAATGCAGACTGCTGACTGCAGACCGGGTACAAAATGCAGACTGGGCACAAAATACAAACTGCAGACTGCAGAGTGGGTAAAAAAATACAGACTGAAAATTTATACTGTTTTTTCGTTTGATACTTGATAAAATGTCATTTTACAACTTACGGAGCGTCACGCAATCGCACTTTCCCGCGATCATCTTTCACGATTATTTGCACTATTGTCAAGCTGCCTGCACTATTGTGGAATATTCCTTGCCCGTTTTTCTATCACAATCGTTCTTAATATAATTTCAAGTCTTCATATAGTCTTCTCACTTTGCACGCGAGTCGGTTGGTGTGATGTCTGAACAGAATTTACCAACTTAATGAAAGTAGATGTAGATGTAAATGAGATGTCACTATTGAATATTTAACACGCGCATTATTCGCATGTGGACCGTATATTTCATCCTTTCAACCGACATGTGTTCATTTTGTTGACAAAAATGCGGACCGAGACTAAAACTGTTCCTTCGACATAAAATATTTTCAACGTTTAGGGGTGTACACTCACTGATTTTCACATATGTGCCTTATATTGTTATTGGCTTACAAGAGGAACCAGCGAATTTTTATTGGGAAAAAGCGAAGCATTACTTTCGTGACTGGCCATATGTTTACTTTTCTGATGGTTTTATCCCTCATCTGTTTGGTGACTACGCAAATATTAGTAAGTGAAAATCAGATGGTATGAAGGCTTAAAATTCTATTAAGAACGATTGTGGCCGCTTTGTTAATAACCAAATGCAACGACCGCTTTGCTAAAAACAAAAGATATCAAGAAACGGGCAAGGAATATTTCACATTAGTGTAAATGATCGTAAAAGTTGAGGGTGACTAATATTTTGCTGCTAGAGCAATATTTGATGCCTGATTATGCAAAACCCAGCCCACCCTCCGCCCCACAAACACACACACACACCAACAAAAAGGACACTGTCTGCCTAATGATCTCTGCCCATCCCACCTCCAGCCCACACAAGTTTTTTTCTCAATCGATCAATTTTTGGAGACTTTTTTTCCATCTATGGTGGTCGTGATAATTTCGTGATCTCTTTGCCGTCATCGACAACACATTTTAATTGAATACCTCATGAATTCAGTGTCCTTTTAGCGTCATGTCTTTTCATCAAATTGCAAACAGCTGCTCACGTATTTTTTATTAACACACTCGGAGCCACACACTTTAACACTCTTGTCAGGTTCGCTTTTTCCTTAAGACTCTTCGTTAGTGATCAGTCTTCAGATTACCCAACCCGTAAAATCGTCACCATTTCTTGGCAAGTAGAAAAAATATTCTTTAATGTTTTATGGAAAAAAAGCGTTTTTATCCTTTCAGAGAAAATGTGCTTCACGCATCTGTAATTCTATGCAGTATGCTATTTTTAGTTATTATTTTATGATATAAACCATTTCCTCTTTTTGTCGGTTGATCTGTCAAAAATGTATTTAGTCACATTTTAGCCGAGGGAGAGATCTCGAGTACCTCAGCGTCTGGAAATAAGAAACTAATAATTAGATTATGGGTTCATGATAGACGAACTAAAGTTACGATTACTGGACGTTTTATTAGAGTTCTCTTTCCTGTCGAGGTAACCGGATACATCTGTGTGCTTGAATGAATTTATATATTAAAATAAGAGACATTTTATTTCCTAGTCATCACACATGAAAACAATCGATTGCTTATCAACAATTTCCACTCCACTAGTTTTAATTATCATTTTCTATTTGTTATTAAGGCGTAGAGGTATTTAATTTTCAAACCCATGTCTCATTCGAAACTGTCACAAAGAACTCAGCTGATTTTATCGCCCTCTTGTACAAAGTTTTGTGATATGGATATCGATGAAATACCAGAATTTCTCTTCGCACGTGCAAATAAAAATGACCTCTTGGTAACTTTTCACGAAGGGCTGTTTTTATATTACGAACATCAAGCCTGACTCGGCCTTAAGTTCAGAGGAAAAAATTATTTCGTGATATTTTTTTTTATGTCAAAATTAAAGTCTTTCATCGACGGGCTGAGTTACCGCCGGTGCAGGTGTCTTGTGCATTCGGTGTTCTTGAAATATGTTTTAAATTGTATTTGATCTAAACAGGCGATCGTTCTCCTTATAATAAATGGCAAAATAACATTTTTAAACTTTAGTTACAGCAGTTACAGCTGTACGCTCTTTATTCTATCTTATTTTTTATTTCACACTCTTGAGGGCACGGTCCGTAAGATGGCCATTGACATGTTCTGACAATCTTAAAATTATAG